CTACGGAGTCTCATAACGTATATTTATTCCTAAAACGAAAAATATTATTATAAATAATGAAAATATAGCTTTATTGTTCCTGGACATATGAGCGCTGGATACATTTTCTGTGATTAGACAAAAAGCTACAGCCCAGTGGTAAATATTCCAGTTTGTTTTAATTTTCGCAAACAAGCTCCTTCTTTTTGTATAATAATGAGATATATTATATAAATGCGAAAGTTTGGACGGATACTTGTTACTCAAACTACTTTACTGATTCAGTTGAAATTTTGCACATTACATTGCTTTTGTGCCTGATTGACGTATAGACCTATTAACATTTTAATAACATAGATCTAGTAACAATAAATGTTACGTAAAGTTATTTGTTTAAACGAGTAATCGTCCAAACAAATTATTTAAAGAGTTACATTTTTCATAACGTGATTCCATAAATGGATTTTATAGGAATGTGAATATAATGTATGAAAAAGGTTTTATTTAAAATGCTTTTGTTGTTAAAAATGAAAAAGGTTGTTGTATATGAATTATAGCATAAGAATAGACTATTAACAATTTCTTCACAATTTTTCCTATAGAATCCATTCGAACAATCAGATTTTGAAAAAGGAATTTGTTAAGAGTAGTTTGTTTTGGTAGTAGTTTCTATAGAATGCTTTAGCGTATCGTAATAAAATTTCATAAAAATCGGTACGTTCTTAAGAAAAAAGTCTCTGAAAATGACTACTTTCTCTACTTCCATATGAAGGACTAAAAGTCCTAATGGTGTAAGTCATTTCTCAGAGAAGTTGTGAATTTCATTACGAATGCTAATACGTTTAAAGAAAACGTGAAGTAACTTCTAACTCATTTATCTTGCAAACTGATAGTAGCATAATATAAGCATACTAACACGACAGCTATATCATATCTGGAACCTTTCAATTCCGAAAAGTGAATTACACCACGATGACTAAATAACGTATTTTACATATTTATTAGAAAACGGAGTGTGCAAAAATTACAAATGCTACGTGTAATATACAAAACCATACAGAATAACAAAAGCAGACTAGACATTTCAGTCTTTTAATGATAAAGGAAATGTTTATCAGAAACATTTTTTAAATTGATACTATAAATGTTTTATTTTGCACAAACATCCGCTATGCAACTTTTACCTCTTCATGTAGTAACTTGAGCAGTAATGGGAGAAAACACGTGGGTGAAGGAAGTGACAGGGGATGCAAATTCTACATAAACCTGTTAATGTATATTTTCTTATTAGGTCATTTTGTATGTTGCTTTCGTCACTCTGATGGTCAAATTATACACCCTACCGTTGTTCGCGTTACGCGCTATGTACTACACGATGAGAGATTTCAAAAAGGCCTTCCGCGATATTGTAATGTCGCGTCGCGCTATCAGAAACATGAATACGTTATATCCAGATGCAACAACAGAAGAATTAGCCGCTGCTGATAACGTGTGCATAATATGCAGGTAAATATAGATCACGGTTTTAAATTAGCGATTAAATCTTTAAGTCAATTAAACATTTATTAGCAATTGACGTC